ATTGGAGGAGAGGTAGGGAAGAAAAACTATAATCAGGATATATTGCATGAGAAAAGAATCTATTTTCAAAAAAGGGAAAAACACAAAAGCAGAATTTTCACAAGGATTGTTTTCTTCATGGTAACTCTGCATTCAATTTTCAGTAATGGAAACAGGGAAAGACTTCAAATGTGATATCAAGCTTTGCAGAGGATTTGGCCTTAGTTTGCCATTCTAGAGGTGGTAAGAACCCAGGAAAATAGACAATAAATGAGGTGGACTACAGTCTCGTGCAATAGCCAACTGTATTTAAAGCCTCAGGTAATTTGTACTCTAAGGGCTAAGAGGAGACACCTTAGTAAAGTGTGCCACCATAAGAGCAAGCTGCACATAGTAAAACCATGTTTCTCCATAGAGACATATAAACAAACCACAATAGCCATTTTAAATGAATAATCTAAAGTAAACTCAACCCTATCTGATATACCTGGGGGCAGTATGGAGACCCATGCCAAGAACAAGTTCATGTTTTGAAGGAACAGGCCATAAGACTTTTATTTATTTATTTATTTATTTTAGTTTTCTCAAAAGCACTCAGAATTCTCATGAAGCTCCATTTTTTGAGCTTGTTCTGACAAGTTTTTATCTAACTTCCCTTTCTTCACTTCTATATCCAACATAGCATTTGCATGTGACACAAGCACATACTAAACTATCACATCTCAAGTCCAAGGAATCCAGAGCACAGTGTGGCCTAAAGAAGTAAAGGAAATAGGTGAGAGGAACATGGAATTCAACCAGCTCAAAATCATGTTCTTTAACTAGGTTGATTATATGACTCTCCCTGAATTTATATTAAATATTGTATTTGATATCTGGTAAATTTGAAATAATATATTTTATTGTTTTATTATGGATTGGTTTTATTTCATAGATATAAACTAGGACAGAAAGGCTACTTTTAAGTTTAGGAAAAATTCATCATTAATATCAAAATTAGTATAACACATATTTGTTATTTGTAATTTCATTTTATTTTGACATATACAATTTTAAGTTTGAATAAGTAAATTTAATGATAAGGAAAATAAAATATAATAATATAGTTTCACTTTAAATTCCTGTTTAACAATATTGTGTTTTTCTATGTTACAAATAGTAGTAGATGGATAGAAAAGATGACAGACTCGTGAGAAATTGGAATTTGACATATTTATAAACATAAACAAATTAATCAAATCTTATTTCTTAGTAAAGGAAATAGGATTCCAATGCTTATTTTTTTGAAAAAAATAAGAATATTATGTAGTTGTCTTTTAATCCCAGATAAGCATACTATACCCTAAATATTTATTTAAAAGGGGTTCTTTTTTTAATTTTTTTTTATTAGTTCAAGTTAGGGAACAAGCTTGTTTCACATGTAAGTCCCTTCTTCCTGTCCCTCCACTCACCCCATTCCACCTCCCCCACCCCCAACCTACCCCCTACCCCATCCACCCACCACTCCCCAGGCAGGGTAGGGCCCTCAACAGGTGCTCTGCAAAGTCCACCAAATCTTCCTGTGCTGGTCCGGGGCCCTTCCCCAGGGGG